CTATTATTTATATATATATATATATATATATATATTATTCAAACATAGAACAAATTTCAAAAGAACTTTTTTTGTAAATTAACGAATAAAAAAAATAATTCGAAGTTTCTTTAATAGTGTTTACGCCAAAATTTGCTGCTAAAAGGTATTTTTTCATAAAAGGTACTTTTCGATAAAAGGTAATTTATTAAGAAGTACTTTCTGATAAAATAAAATAATGGATTATTGCTTAAACTACGTTGATAATTTCTAAGGTGTTATTCTTTTTAGATAATAAGATCCGAGATCAATAATCGAAAAAGCTAACAAATGAAATTACTTATCTTTATCTATTTAAAAAGGGTAAAATCTCGAATTGGGAACACCAGAACCTACTGAGTTAACACGATCGTCACCAACCATATTAAAAGAAATTCAATAATCCGAGGAAAGATTAATAATCTAACAAGGAATAGAATCACTAATGTTTATATTTTTGAAAAATGTATCAAAATGGGAATATTAGCTCCAACTGAATAATTATAAGCATTACCAATCATGTTAAATAACAAGCATTTAGATTAATAATCCATGGTTGTTATTTTGAAAACATGAATTATTAATCTGCGTGGATTATTAATCTCTAGTTATAGACTCGGATATTGATAAAAATTATTTTTTACAGGTAGAGTTTGCTACTTATTCTTGCTATACTCGATCCATTGTTGTCGTGGATGATGTTAGGATCGTGGATGGGAGATGTTCAGGTAAAAAAGTACATTTTTTATATTCTAATAAAACTGAAATTTTAGTTTGGATGACGGTTTTTATTTAAAATATCGCATACATATACAACGGAAAGATCCTATTTCCTGTCATAGTGCTACTGCCACTTATCACTGCTATAGAAGCATGGCTATTTCTTCGAACAGATGTTAGTTTTTTTCAAACAATCATTTATAAAACCCAGTGTTAGAACATTCTTAGAGACATATTCGAAAAAAAATTGAGATTTCACGAGTAAAGGTTTTATTTTAACTTTATTGAACTAAACAACAGGGATTCATTTTTCTCAACAGTTTATGACCCTAAGTGACAATCTTTGGAGTAGAAGAGATTTTTGGAGTAGAAGAATGTTACAAGTCCATTTGTCAGCAAAAATCCTATAACTGTTCTCAAAAACCTGTTCTTTTATAGCATAATAGAACTGATAGTAGGATCTTTAAGTCACAAAAACTCAACTAATTGTTAAAGGATTAGTATTTTTTTTTAAAATAGGAAACTTGCTTCAATTATTCCCTTTATTACAATAGGAATAAAGGAACGCTAATCTTTATTTTACCCTTTACTTAAAAGAGCAACGTTTTGACTTTAAAGCACCAATTTGCTAAAATGTCACTTGAAACTTTCTTTCACTTTGCTTTTTAAAAGTAAACGACATTAGGAAGGCAAATTTTTATGAATCAATTGTTATTTTGTTAATGGTTATAAATTCCACTTGAATAGTTCTTTCTTTCAAATAAATAAAGTGGTCGCGACCGGGAAAAATTAAAAACTTTTTTTTTAAAAATGTTGAATAAAATAAATTTAACTAGATTTATCAAGATACAAGTAAATTTATCTAGAAAATAAACTGTGCAACTTAATTCCTAAAATAAAATTGAAATTAAAATTTGCAAAATTTTTATTACCCTCATGAAATAATTTTAAAAATTTTTCCCAATAATCCACACTCTGAATATCTTATGGGTTATCTTTCCAAAAAATTAGGATTCTTTTATCTTGATTGAAACCACCGTTAGAAGGTATTTTGATTTGACTTTATTATCTGATAAGTGTGATTTTGAGGGCATAGTGCTTGATATTCAATTTCTGCATGTGCAAGGAAAATGTAATTTATTCTTTCTGGTTTTTGTTTCCGAAAGATAACACTAATTTTGAAAATTTAATAACTTATTGTTACTAACTGAAAGCTGATTCCAAATTTTAAAAAGGGGATATCGATACTTTGATTCATTTACAACAAGTCTTGAGAATGGACTACAATTTTTAAACATGACTACTTTTTGGTAATGGAGTTCCTTTAATCGAGTCTTTATCATGAAAACTCGCAGTTTTTTTTCCTAAAAAAAGCTGATTTTAAGCTGGAGTTGTTTGAATCGCTCCAAGAAGAAAAATGTCCTTTTATTTTCATGAAAAAATTCGCTAATGGTTTGTTTAATCTCATTTAGATATGAAGCCTATTACAAGTCCATCTACCACTACTACTTTTGAATATACAACAAGTACTCCTGATCCCTCTACCAGTACTTTGTCTAGGACAGAAAGTACTCCGGATCTCTTTACCAGTACTTTGTCTACAACAGAAAGTACTCTGAATCTCTTTGCCAGTACTTTGTCTACGACAGAAAGTACTCCGGATCTCTTTACCAGTACTGTGTCTACGAAAGAAAGTACTTCAACTATTGGTTCAATTGACGAAGAGAAAACTGGAAAGACTATGTTCACCAGAGAAGATCAAAATACAAAGCCTTCTTTCACGACTAAAGGAACTTCTCTTGAAGAACTAACTACTAGCAGTAAGTTATTCGTGTAATAGCACATCTATTTTGGTTACTTATTTCTTGAGCTTATTCAGTTTTAAAGTTTTGTAGACGCTGCTCAAATTCTATTAAACTGGTTTTTGCAACAGCTAGTTATGCAGTAAAAAGCAAATGTTTGAAAAATAAAGGTATGCAATTAGACGTTAACTGGCGGTCGCATTATAAATTATAATCCTAGCTTAAGCTTATTGAAAAATGTTGCTGGGACATAGTTTTAGATACAGTAAAACCTTCAAGAAAGACCACCCTTCTGTAGCGATCATTCATCATCGTTACGTAATGTATTCAGTATTTATGACAAGTTTTAGAAGGCACGGAATATTTCCATAAGAATTTGTGTTGAAGACAACATTTAAACCTTTAGTCGACACCATTAAAACCTCTCTCGCTCCCCCCAAAAGTTTACTTATTTGGAATAGTTCGAAGATTCCTAATTGAATTTCACACCTAAGAAAATGACACTGATTGAAGTTAAAGTAGTTTTCGAAAAATCGTGTTCCTTCGATAAAATTTTTAAGCGAATGGAGGTAACCTCTAACAACGACCAACCTCCATTAACGACCATTTTACTGAGGAACAGAGAGTGGTAGCTCCCGAAAGGCTTCATTGTATAATTAACTTCTAACTGCTCATTATAACTACCTACATGATTAATATATTTTGTTTAATATTATGATTAATATATTTAGATTAATATATTTTCGAAACACTAATGTCTTTGTATCAATGAAATAATTTAATCCTTAATTTTTTTAATTTTTTTTCTAAGAACTCAAGAGATTTTGACAGTTTTGAACGGGCAGTTTGACAGTTTTTTTTTCTATCATTTCAAAGCGGGCTTGAAAAAACCGCCCCACTTAATTTTTTCACAATAATATAAACCACTAGGATTTTAAGCTATTTTTTTCTGAAAAACAATGTGGTTTGGTCACCGCATCATCCTCAGTAATCCGGAGGCACGAAGGACTCAGACCTCTCACAAGACGGGTATGTGGTCCTGCGCACCGAGTGCCCAATCCTACCGACCCACTAAGCTCGTCTGTATGAGCTTGCTGCAAGGGAAAGGGTTAGATCATGGCATACAGATTAATTAAAAACAGATAATAATTAAATTAAGAATTTTAAATGAAATAATTGAAAAAAAAATAACTAATGTTTATTCTATAATTAATTAAAAATAATAAATAACTGGAGAAGTAAATTTAATGATTAGGTAAAGAATGATAATTGAATGAGATAAATAAATTATTAAAGATTAATCTACAATTGAAAAAAAAATGTCAACCAAATAGAGAATATGATACTTAAGCATATTAAATCTGATTCGGTAGAAATCCGATTCATGAGTATTCTTTCAAAAAACTGTTCAATAACTTAATAATTGCAAAATTAGAATAACCACAAATTTCTTTGATGGGTAGTTTGCTATCACTTGAATACTTTTGGTAAAATTTTAGGACTCTAGGGACATACACACTCCCTGGCCAAATTATTAGACGCACTATAGGATCGATATAAAATCTTAATTAGCAGGCCATATTATAAAACTTTATTGTTGTTACGCCTCTGAAACCGGTTTGCACTTGCTTACGTTCGTGTATCAATTGGTTATATTAGACGATATATAATTTAAATTTGACGATATATTATATAAATATAGAATATTTATTATATCAGGTATCAAACTAGTATATTATAATGTTTAGACCAAATTATTAGATTTACTGTAGTGTTCTAAAAATGACATGTTTTGCACGAGTTTATATGCAATATTTTTATATTTTACATGTAATAGGCTTTTATTCAGGAGATTTTTTATATGCTTCCTATTTGTATTTATTTTTAACATATTTTTTTGCAATGTTAACCAACTGATACACGAGCGTTAATAACTGCAAACCGGTTTCAGCCGCGAAGAAGCAATAATGCTGTATAATATTAATCGATAATTAAGTTTTTACATAGATTCTAAAAATTTGACCTTTGTCTAATAATTTGACCAGGGACTGTAAATACTTTTGCTACAGTTCTCTTGGATTGTTTGCTGGTTGCTTAAAAAGTGAATGGGGTATTACATAAAAAACAGAGATGTAACATTCCAGATAACATTTCAATTTTTTTTTTTCCGTTGCTCTTTTTTGTTTATTTGGGAAGAGAAAGAAATGTCGTGTTGAGCAAATGACGGTTACAGGATTCAACAGGTTTCATAGTGAAAATGTGATAATTTTTCCTACCAAATGTGCAATTGACGCTCAATTGCCAGCGGCAGCGGAAAAAAAAACTGTGTTTCAAAGTACTATAGTCAAACTAAAATCGTGCGGAAACGTGCTAAATTAAGGAAAAGTTACATTTTTATTAAAATTTAATGAAATATATCTTATTTTCTATCATTTAGAAGAGAGTAAAAGTCCATCGATATCCACATTTCAATTAACAAGCACTTCAAAGCAAGTTACCAGTAACAAGATTTCAACTCAAAGTACTTCAGCAATTAGTACGAGTGACAAAGAAAACATTGGAACATCGATCATCATCAAAGATGATAAAAAGGAAAAACCCACGACAATGGCTTTGATTATTGAACCAACAAATAAAAGTAAGCAATTTAATGACATCGAACAAATAATTACAATATACTCGTTCTTATTAAGTACTAGCCGCTAAAGGCGGCCAGCTGTCCGCCACGCTAACGGTTTTCACAAATAAAGCTTTTTAAAACATAGCAGGAAATCTGAAAATTAGTGGACAATTAAAGTGTTCCTGTCCTGCAATTTTGTCTTCATATCCAGTTCTGTTGCAGATGTGTTATAGCTCTTGAGGATGTTTGAAGATGTAACTTTGGTATGGTAACATAAGGCCTATGGTAACCTAAGGCCTATGGTAATCTAACCTATAATATAAATATCAGGTGGAGACTTGATTTTTTTAAATTTTTTTTTAAAAAGGCCTCAGAAATTGTAAAAGCATAATACAAAAGTTGCTTTCGAAATCATCATTAGGTGAAAACCTCTTCTAATCTTTGACGTTTCTCTGATACTTCTTGGGCTCTAGAATTGCTTGTCGAAATTCGGTCATGTTCCATCCTTCTTCGACGTTCCACAGATGTTTCTTGGGCCCTTCTTCTTCTTTGAGAATCTCTTAATATCCTTTTCTTTGACAAAATACAAANTTCGTGCCTGGGCGAGGCTTCTGGGGCGATATATTGTGATTACAGACAGACACACAGCCGCTTTTATTATTATGTATAGATTATAAAAATTTTTTTATAATAATCACAAAATTTAGTATTGTAAGGTAATTTTTTTTTACATTTATCTAAAGAATGTTATTTTATATAACAAATTTAAGCAAATTCGGTTAAATAGTTCCTGAGAAATTGAATTTTAAAAGTACCTATTTTTCTAAAAAAAAAAATTCTATTTCTCTGGAACTCTGTTTGACCGATTTCGATCAAATTTTGTATTTTGTGATGTAAAATTACATTCTTTAAAATGATGAAAAAAATTGTATACCTTATAATTCAAAATCTTCTTGACTGTTATTAAATTAAATTATTAAAAATAATAAAATATTTTTAAATTTTATATTTTTCGTAGAATTACCTTTCTGTAAATACATTTAATAATTGTTTGTAGTTTTTTAAAAATTTGTTTAAAGAATTTCGGAGGTATGATGAAATACGCAAAAAGTAAAATTAAGATTAAGATGACGAAACTTTGGACCACTCTCTTGACCAAACTATTGGGGGCCGTTCAAAAAGTACTTACACAAAAATGGAGAATTTTTAACCCCCTCCCTTCCCTTCGTACATTACCGTACATAAACTCTTACTATCCCCTCCTTAGAGTACGTAAATTTTATTAGTCTACCCTCTTTCATAAAAAATTAAAATAATTATGTTTTAAATAAAATTAAATATTTATTTAAAATAATTTATTCATTTAAATTATTTAAACAATAACACTCAACTTTATCTTTGAATCAGTAAATAAAACAATCTTATCTGATCAACAGAATAGTAATTTCCTACAATCAATACAATTTATCTACAGTCAGTGTTAAAAAAATACAAGAACAAACATATGTATTATACATAGGTAGGAAAAAGTCAAATTTAAATTTGGTGTATGCTTATAATGTACGTACTTTGTTTAATACCTCCCCCCCTCCCCATCGCACAAAACCGTACAAAATAGCAAATCCCTTCCCCCTCCCCTTCGGGATGTACGTACTTTTTGAACGGCGCCTTGGGACTATATTTCATAGATTGCGGTTATCCCCTATATTTGTGGGGTGAGAAATTCGAATCCGTCGAGAAAAGATATATTCAGAGAAAGCACGCTTTTGGATCTGAATTCGTACATTAAAATATCGCCTGCACTAATTAATTAAATTATTTGAGGTCACCCCCTTTAACCATTAAAATTTAGTCTTAGAATGTGAAGATCCAATCATTAGATTAACATTTATTCAGGATAGTCAGCTTCTTTTTACTTTATGCACTGTACCTGTTGTCTTAATGTGCAAGCCTCAGAACTCTTACAGGGTAATTTTCTCCCTAATTTTACCTAAGATTCTAAATAAAACTTTGTTAAAAATCTACGTGCAAATACTCAAGTTTAAAAAATTAAATAATGTTTCATTAAATAATACAATAAATAAACGTCTAATTGATCGGATTCTAAATTTGTTGAACCAGGAGTCGAAAGTCGTTAAATAAATACACTAAATTCAATAATATTCAAAATATTCAATGGTAACATATAGCTAATTTTTTCCTACTTCACATTTTATTACATTTTGTCATTGGATATAGTGTCACCATTTTGGTAAACTTATATAATTCATATAAGCTGTTTTTTTATAAAACCTAAATATTGTTTTACACCTATAATAGCCTTCCTAACATATATACTTAAAAGTTTTTATATGGATATTTCACCATTTTTTTAAAATTTTCTAGAGACGTGCTTGGTATGAATTTATTTGGTTTTGACCGTATTTTGTATTACTTAATAGTAAGCTCACCTGCTTAAACTATAAGACTGGTAGCGAAATTTCTAAAAAAATATTCGGCTACCCACTTATTTACCTTTCTTCTCTAAAAAAAACATTCTTTTCCGAAATTCTCTACGAAGAATTTATGTTCTTAGAGAATTAAATTTAAAAAGTACAGTAGTGAGTTTCTAAAGATCGATACAGAAATCCTACAATTAATCTTTTTATAGTTTCAAGAGAACGATAAGTTATCTTAGTTATAATCTATGCAGAACAATGACAGTGCTGCACTATAAAAAGAAAAACATTCTTTTCCGAAATTCCCTGCGAAGAATTTATGTTCTTAGAAAATTAAATTTAAAAAATATAGCAGTGAGTTTCTAAAGATCGATACAGAAATCCTACAATTATTCTTTTTATAGTTTCAAAATAACGCCTAGTTATCTTAGTTATAATCTATGCAGAACTATGGCAGTGCAGCACTATAAAAAGAAAAACATTCTTTTCCGAAATTCTCAACGAAGAATTTATGTTCTTAGAAAATTAAATTTAAAAAGTACAGCAGTGAGTTTCTAAAGATCGATGCAGAAATCCTACAATTATTCTTTTTATAGTTTCAAAAGAACGCCAAGTTATCTTAGCTATAATCTATGCAGAACAATGGCAGTGCAACACTATAAAAAGAAAAACATTCTTTCCCGAAATTCCCAGCGAAGAATTTATGTTCTTAGAAAATTAAATTTAAAAAATATAGCAGTAAGTTTCTAAAGATCGATACAGAAATCCTACAATTAATCTTTTTATAGTTTCAAAATAACGCCAAGTTATCTTGGTTATAATCCATGCAGAACAATGGCAGTGCAGCAGAATACAGGATAAAAATGTTGATATATAGATAATAATAAATGTTGATATGTTCTTAATTCGTAGCTATGTAGCTGAGGAAAATATACAGAGTCATAATTTAAGTGTGTTACATTTGACGTAATGCAATGATCTTAAACTATACAATCTTGCTGTGAAGAATTATCTGGACTTTAGAACAGACAAACAATTTAAATTTTTTAAAAGTTATTAAACTTTCTCTTTAAAAATCGAAAATTTGGTGATACTTTTCATCCTTGATGGAAATTATCAAAATTACTGCCGTATTATCAGTTTTTGCAAATTATTATGAGCCTATGTAATGCTGAACTTAAGTACGTTTTTATATCTTTAAAAATTAGACTATAAACGCTTTTTATTTCCACAAAACTATGACTTTTCTCCATATTGACATTTTGTGCCATTTTTAAAATAAGCGTAGACAGCGAAGGTTTTAGATAGGCTAAACTTGGCCTAACAGTCATGACTAACAGTTGTAAGCTCGCAACAGTTATAAAAACAGTATGTTATTCGCAAAAAACAACTTTAAGAAAAGTGATCAGTTTTAGTTGTTTACTGGCTTACTTGTTTACTGGTTTAGTTTTCAACTGGCTTACTTTTTATTGTTGCGGTGTGATAAGAGACCACTCTTGCACTCTTACAAAACCGTGCGGTTGATTTCAGATAGAGGAGGAGCAGGAGAGTCTACAAGAGGAAATTTTAGCAACTAATCCTAATAGTTGTTAAAAAAAAATTTCAATGCTTCCGTGAAGAACTTTTGAAAAAAAAAATGATTAACTTTATAGGTTATCGGAGAAAATATTTGAAGGGAACGGAAGAAATTGACTTATTATTATTGATGATAAAAATGCTTGCATGAATCGTGGTAAATTTTGATAATCACGAGCAATAGCATCATGCTGAATAATCAGAGATCAAATTCCATACTTCCTTTTAATAATGTCAAATGTCTAATAAAGAATATCTTCAGGGATTCTTTCATCGAAGAACAAAAAAAAAAGAAACGCAATTTAGCTAAACCTTCGCTTAAACAGATTCTTAATGTACCTCAGTGACCATAGATGAAATCTGTCACCATGTTTCTACTGATATATGGACACTATATTCTGAATAAATATCTATGTCGCGGTAATTGATCCGTTTTATACCTTGTGTAAACTCCGCGAAGATGGCCTTGTCTCTATTGTTTAGATAGCAATCTAGGAGAGCAATCTGGGAACACTACTGGACTCTTTGCTCTCATTTATAGATCTATTGTTATATTTTTGATATTCCTTTGTCTTTAATGTGCCATTCGAAATTAAAAACAAATTATCTAACTGTTCTGTTTTTTTATTTTTTTACAGATCAGACGCTGGTCTTTATTTTTGTTTTCTTTCTGGGAGCTACTTTTCTCATAGTTCTTGCTGGAGTCGCCTTGTCTGCAATAACGTATAAAAGGTATAGATCATAATATATATGTTATTTATATTTAAGAAATTGATGGCCAACCCACACCATGTTACTGTTCGACATGGCAGTTTTAGCAATTACCGTCATTCGGGGCTACTTTGTGCAGGATTTCGCAGTTTTTGAACTTTGACATGTAAAAAAACTATGTTAATTCAAACTTTAGTAAAATTTNCATGGCAGTTTTAGCAATTAACACTTAAGAATTTCTAGAAAAATGCTAAATTTTGAAAAAAAATTGAAAAAATTTGAAATAATAATTTTTTTTATTAAAACTTCGCTAAAATAAGTAAAAATCGTTCTCTTACTCATATTATTGATCTCTAGCACGTTATTAAACTGAAAAGCCGTTATAAAATAATTTTCTTCAGCTGTACTAGTTTTATACCAACAAGCAATTTTCATAATTTGCATGATTTTGCTCACATATACAGTTGTAGATTTAAATCAACATGTGTTTGCGAAAAAATGTTGTCCATTTTGAAAACAATAACATCAAAATATCGTTAAACTGGGGTGCTCCAAAGCTATACCCTCTAAATATTGTGCGAAATGATTTTTCAGATGTGGCTGAAATCCTGAAAATTCATTACATTTATTTTAAGCCCTTAACTTGTGCGCTCGAGTTAATTTGAGCAGGCTGAACAGGCCAAACTGTGCACACTCGAGATAATTCGAGCGGCGTTCCATTTTATACAGCTATAATTTTTCACACTTGAATATAATCAAAAATCGAAAATAACAATGCGATAGCTAAGGAAAAAAATCGCTTTAATGATACTTATCATTTACATAGGATTGTACACTATAACACTTATTTATTCAAGAATAAAATATACAGAGTTGCCAACTTGCACCAGACACCAAATATATATATTAAAGTGGTAGTTTATCAAATGCGATTTTTGGTTCCATAAATTCAATTCAGTTGATTTTTATCCATCGCGCGTAAATAATTCCAAAGCATTTGCAGAACGTCATTTTGCTCCAGCCCTCTTATTCTGAAGCTTTTAAAATGTAAGGAAACAGGAAACCTATAAATTATTTTATAGAAAGTGCAGAAATCGACTGCCCAGCAGTTTAAAAAAATTTTTAATTTGAGAATTTTGATTTGACAGGTGAAGGGAATCAGCCTTTTGTTTAAGTTCTTTGAATAGTTCCATAAGAAGATTTGATTTTCAATATATATATATATATATATATATATATATGTACAACAAGATAAGTAAATACAAAAAAACACGAAAAAATGTAAGCAAAACAATAGGTTTCATTTATTGCGCATACGCTGCAAGTAAGCAGAACTCATTATATAAGTTCAAAATGAAGATAAACAAAAGGAAAATTACAGACATATGAAAAAAAGGGTGGAAAAGAAAAATAATAATTAAAAAAATAACAAACAACAGGAGGAGAAAAAAGGATAAAAGATTTTTTAAAAATGCGGAAGATAAAAGATATAATCTTTTCATCAGCCCACACGATTATATCGGACAAAAAGAGTGCTTTCTGACATTGTATCAATTTTGCCAAAGCAAAATATATTAATACAATAGTGTGAGGAGCACTCAAAAAAATTTTTTTTACATAAATTACACCAAGTAAAATAGAAAACAAAAAGTAAAAATAGCACGTAAAAACAGAAAATGATATAAAATAAAAAGAAAAAACAGAATAAAACAAAATCTATAAAGCGAGTAGTGAGTTCAAATGCTCTTACATGAGCGGGAAATTTTTCAAGAATGATTTTAAAAATATTTTCATAACAAGATTGCCAGATTGCAAAATATGAAAACAAAAGCGCAAATTGAGCGTTTATTTTATATTTTTTTTTAAATAAATACTTATTTTCTAAAATTATTTATGGTCAATTTCTTCAAATTATCCAGCATAATATTACCTTGCGCACATCCATTTCGGGCCCAACCTTGGTAACTAACAAATTAAGCGCACTTCAGCAATGCCGTAAGAACGGGACTTTGAAACAAAACTCCTCTAGTTTGCTCAATTTGCTCTTTTGCTTTCATGTTTTGCAATCTAGCAATCTTGTTGCGAAAATATTTTTAAATCGTTCTTGAAAAATTTCCCGTTCATGTAAGTACATTTGAATTCGCTACTCGCTTTATAGATTTTGTTTTATTCTGTTTTTTCTTTTTTCTTCTTTTATTTTCTGTCTTTACGTGTTATTTTTACTTATTGTGTTCTGTTTTATTTGTTGTAATTTTTGTAAAAAAATTTTGAGTGCTCCTCACATTATTGTATTAATATATTTTGATTCGGCTGTATTGATACAATATCAGAAAGAACTCTTTTTTGCTGATATAATCGTGTGGGCTGATGAAAAGATTATATCTTTTATTTTACGGATTTCTTAAACAAATTTTATCCTTTTCTTTTCCCCAGTTGTTTGTTATTCTTTTATATTTTATTCTTATTTTTCTTCTCCCCCTTTTTTTTCATATGTCTGTAATTTTACCATGTCTATCTTTTATATATACACCTTTTTAACAAATAACTCCTCTCTTGTTAAATGGTGGTCACAAATGTTTTGAGATTTTGTCACCTTATATATAGCTTTAATACCTTACTAATTAATACCAATTTGCACTTTTCGGTTTTTCAGTTTGAGGAAGAGTGTCCTGATTGCAATGAAGTGAGAGCATCTTCATTTAATGCATCTGAACATCACGTAGAATTAATAAACATCCTTATACTGTATGAAAACTTTATGTTGTTTTAAATATAACAGTCTGTGTAGATTAATAAATTTTGATGATAACAACTATGAAAGATAATAAAGAATTTAATGCAATACTAAAATATTTTTTTAGTTCATATAAAATAATACATGGCAAAAAGTATATTTTTTTCCCTTTTTAACAATTTATTTTTGACAAATTAATTTTTAATATATATATTTATATGTTTATACATTNATGCATATTTTTATCAAAATATTGCAAAAGAAAGATACATTTCTTTTATTTTATAAGTATTTTTCAAGAAAACAATTTGAGCACAAATGTGAAGAATTCACTTGTCAGCCATGTGATTACTTTAGAATGCTGCCAGATTCAAAAAACTTAAAATTATCAAAAATTAAACAGTAATATGTAGACTTTGGCTTTTTTTGAACATATTTTTAAAATTAAAGTATGCAATTCATTAAAAAAAATTTTCACTTAGAAGTTGACAATTTCATGGAATTGCCCATATATGTTTATATCTATATTGAAACTAATAAGTAAATAAAATAAGTAAAAACACAAAAACAACATTAAAAGAAGAATCATTATTAATCAATAAAATACTCTTAAAATTTAAAAAAAAAACTAAAATGTTGGAAAACAAAATAAGGGAAATATATAATTTCGTCATCAGCTCACGCAATTATACCGGCAATAAAAAGTGCCTTCTAAATTGTATTAATACAGACTAAACTCAACATATCTACGAAATAGTATACTATTGTAGTGATCATTCGATTGTAATTATCTTTTTTTTTTATCAATAGTATGCTATTGATTAATAGTTCTCTTTCGCTATATTTATACATTATTAGATAGTACTCTCTTTGCGGATATAATCGTGTAAGCTAAGGACGAGATTCGATCTTTTCCGTAGTTATTCCGTTTTTTTAGGTGTTTCTTATACTTTTAAAAACATTTTATTGATTAATAATTTTCCTTCTTCTCTTTAAAATATTTTTTTTCCTTGTATTATTTTTAATATAGTTTTAGTGTTACAGTTGTAGATGAATATAAAGGTGATTAACTATTATAATATACTGAGCTAGAAGCGAACTTGTCTTAGTTTGATAAATAAATACAACTCATTGGTCCTATCTACGGGATCATAATATTTAAAGTGGTAGTAAATTTCTTGTTTATACATTTTACTGTTTATTTAATGAATTTAATTTAAAATGATTTAGTCCACCACTACATACAAACAACTTGAATGATTTGCATAAGTTTTATTAATTGTGAAATGCAGTGTGTAAATGCGGGCAAAATTAAACAAATTATATTTTCCTTCAATTGTTGTTTGGTTATCCCGTTAATTATGTAGGGAAGCTAGTACTTGCGGTTTGGCAGCTATGTAAACCCTAAAAAGAAATTATTACGTAAGCACTGTTTGTTTAAAAGAATCTTATGTATTTCCTAAATATATTTTCATTACAACGGAATGTGTTAAACTTCATTCCAAACTCCACAAAAATCAACATAATTCCCTAATGTTGATTTTAGATGAAAACTAATTTAAATTATAAAAGCAAAATATTTAAAAATATTTTATGAGATTTTATTTCTAAAATACACTTTTTTTTCCATTAAAAATTTCTGAACAAGCTCAACATTAAAAAATAAAATTGCGTACACGAGCAATCAAAGATTGATTAAAAAACCTCATCCAAAATAAAAATAACGAGAGTTCACGAAAGAAAAACTCAATAGTTGTGAAAAGGAGGAAACAAAATGCGTTAGAACTATAAAAAAAAATAGCTTAAAAATTGTCAGATTATAGTACGTTTCAAAATTCTTTGAATAACTGATTAATGCTTAATTATCATTGTTTGTAGAATCGTTTCCAACGAGATAAGAAATTAACGATCAACGATATTGAAGATTGCGCCGTTGGAATATAAATTTGAAGAGAAATTGGCATTTTTATCATTTTTTCCGATTTGAGAATATCCTTAAGAAGAATAATGAGAAAATTGTTATGGAATAAGCAGACTTTATATTTAAGCACCGTGAAAACGTAAACTGAAGTAAAATTATACTTGCTACTTTCCCGCCAGATTCAAACCGTGAATAATTGGGAGAAAGTTAACATGAATAAGTAAAGTTTAGTGTTCAGTACCGTTTTGTGTTTTTCGTGTTGGTTCGAAACATAGAATCGGTGGAAATTAAATCATTTCAAGAAGATGATAGGAAACTTGAAGTTAGAAAAGATGCAGCCATTGATCCACTTAGTACTGATCGAAACAATAACCAATTAAATTTAGAAGTTAAACGACTCTTCTTTACTAATTCCGTTCTAATCTTACTTTTTTTTTTAAAATCCGTTTTTTCTTCTTCTTTTTGTTTAATAAATTCTTCAGAGTGAAAAATTAAATGCATTCTTAGGTTTGAATTTTATACTGTAAAAGAAAATAAATTGTGAAAAATTTAAGGTAAAACATGTTATTTTCAATTATGATTTAATTCCAAAATAATTGAAAAAAGGGAAATAGGGACTGGTATGGAAGTGAAAAACTTCTGTCGACAAATGGAATATTCCTGTTACTTATCATTCAAAAATTCACTGATTATTCTGGCAGAATGGCAAAACTTTGATATACTTTTAAATGTAATAATTAGTCAAATGTTAGAGTCTTAGGTAGCAAATTTAAAAAAAAAGGATTATGGTAGGAAAATAGC